AAAGTTTAAATTTCTTATTTATTTTTGTGGTAGTTTTGGAAAACCAAAATTCTTAGAGGTGTTTTTGTAATATAAATCTTTTGATATTATTTTTAAAAACAAAATTTCAAAATTTAGTATTTTAAGAATTGCCTTAAAAACAAATGCAGCGTACAACAAAATAATTTTTGATCATGTGAATATCATAAATAAAGAGAAAATTCTCTCATTACATATAATACTAATTTTTAATTTATTCGTTGTTGTAGATTGTAAATTCTCCTTTTTAATATGTTTGTGTGAATGAGAAATATATTAAAATCTAAAAGCAAAAAGGAAAAAAATATCTGAATATATTACCAAGGTTTGTCCCCAGTATATATATATAAATCGCGTGTGGTTTATTTGTGTACCTCAGTCTTTTCTTCTTCTCCTTATCTCTCCGCCTCTAGGGTTTCTATCGAAAAGGTTGAACATGGCGGACGAATCTCAGTACTCATCCGACGCTTACTCCAACAAACGCAAATACGAGGAGCAGACCGCTCCTCCGCCGTCAACTCGCAGGCCGACAGGCTTCTCTTCCGGTCCGATCCCGTCTGCTTCGCCTGATCCCGCCGCAACAGCTGTTCCACCGCCGTCTTCGTACAATAGCGTCCCACCCCCGATGGATGAAATCCAGATGGCTAAGCAAAAGGCGCAGGAAATCGCCGCTCGTCTCCTCAACAGTGCTGACGCTAAACGTCCTCGCGTCGAGAATGGCGCTTCTTATGATTACGGTGACAAAGGGTTTAGCTCCTATCCTTCTGGTGTGTAAAAATCGTCCTTTTTTTTGTCTCTTTGTTCTCGTGTTTAAGCCAGACTTATATCTGTTGTGGAATTTTGGGTTGACAGTAAGCTTATTGTTTGTGACTGATCTTGATCCAGATGGTAAGCAGCTGTCAGGCACGGCTCCATCTACCATACCGGTTTCGTATGGTAGCTTTCAGGGTACTACCAAGAAGATTGATATTCCAAATATGAGAGTTGGTGTTATCATTGGTAAAGGTGGGGAAACGATTAAGTATCTTCAAGCTCAGTCTGGAGCCAAGATTCAGGTTACTCGAGATATGGATGCAGACCCTAATGCTCCTACGAGGACTGTCGACCTAACAGGCACGCCTGATCAGATTTCAAAGGCAGAGCAGTTGATCAATGATGTGCTTCAAGAGGTAGTAGTCCTATTCTTTGTTGATCATTGTTTGTTTCTTGCTAATGATTGTGACATAAGTTGTGTATAGAAGTGATTGAACTGGAATACTAATGCCGCATCTAATGATTTTGCTTCAGGCTGAGGCAGGTGGCATAGCTGGTTCAGGTGCAGGAGGCTCCCGTAGGATGGGTGGACAGGCAGGATCTGATCAGTTTGTTATGAAAATACCTAATAACAAGGTACTTAATGTTCTGGATATTGACTGATTTCTGTAACCAACTAGTATGTAACACACAAACTGCTCTAGGTTGGTCTGGTGATTGGTAAAGGAGGTGAAACAATCAAATCTATGCAAGCTAAGACAGGAGCTCGGATTCAGGTTTGTAACTAATTTCCAGGCGACTGTTTGTCTCTAGCTGGTGAAATGTTATCCGACCCATGGTAATTATATGCACAGGTTATTCCTTTGCATTTGCCCCCTGGAGATCCAACGCCAGAACGAACTTTGCAGATTGATGGAACCTCCGATCAGATTGAACATGCTAAACATTTAGTTAATGAAATCATCAGTGGCGAGGTATGTCTGATTGTTGTGTTTGTTATGGATTGTGGCAGGCTTCTGCAGTGTCTATTTTTCTGCCTGAGATTGTTATTGTGTTGTGATTACATCATTTAGTCTTCATCAGTTATAATCTAGCCTATCCCTTAATCTGTAGATGTAATACTTTATTATTCAAATCTGATAGTTGTTTGATTCTAGCATGGGAAGAGAAATCTTGATGACGGGGGGATGTAGGTTATACTAGTTTTACTTTAGTCAATATATCAGCTGCTAAGTAGTCATCGTGCCTGATGATGAGCATACTCTTCTTATGCCTTCATTTCCGTTAGTATTAGCTCCATGATGGAGTGCATAGTTCTTCTCTTTAGCTTATTTGCAGGGGAAGGTTCTTTATTTTATGTTAACGCACTCGAAGAGACTTTTTGGTATTTTCTTGACTTGCAAACACATATATATTTCATCTTGATTCCTTACCTTCATCTTGTTATTGAAGTTATTATATGTGTCTTCTTCCTCTGGTCATTTTTTGCCAGTACCTTCCTCCACTAAGTTTATCATACTTCTGTTACTATCTTTCTATGGCAGTTTTAGTCGGCCTTTCATTTACTATTCATCTTTTCTGATATATTCCAATATTACAATGTGCTTAGCATGGTTCTTTATGACTCCTATAGTTTCAATCATCAGGGTATCATCAAAGGTGGGTGACTGACACATATGAAGACCTAATAGCCATTTTCTCGTGTCAACATTTTGCTAACCTAGTAACTGCTTTTATTCTGCCTTGTTTGCTTGCCTCAATTCTTCCTGGATTCTGTATAGTTTCAAGCTGAACCCTTCAGCCATAATTTACACCAGAAATATTTTATCCCAGCTTGAGTCTGCTAATATGTTTCCATCGGTAATGATATTGTTGAAAACAGCACTCTTTAGTTTGTTTTAAGTTATTTTGCTCGTTAAATTTGCCTTCCGGAAAATAGGTTCCATGTATATATATATATATGTTGCTTTTTTCTGCAAAAGCTTCTATAGTATTCGTGGATTTTCTTGCCCCTATTTATCTCGGATAGGGAAAGGGATGGGCTTCTGCAGGAGTAACCCAATAATTTCACCAATCAGTACGGTATGTAGGCATCACCATTACCTTCTAGAATATGATATGAACTTGGTTGATCCTATATGGACAGATATTGGTAAATGACATATCCTTGTATGCCTCTCTATCTAATCTTTGTTTTCTGCTTTATATTCCTCTGCCTCTGTGTTCATGTGTTTTTATGCTGTGTCTTTTTTCTACTTACCCCAGAAAAGGTACCTATGCTTATTTTATTGGTTTGTTTTGTGCAGAACCGAATGAGAAGCTCATCAATGGGTGGAGGCTATCCACAACAAGGTTATCAAGCCCGCCCGCCATCAAGCTGGACACCACCTGGTGGTCCGCCAGTACAACAACCTGGTTATGGTTACATGCAACAGGGAGCATATCCACCTCAGTATGGTCAGTCACCTTATGGAAGTTACCCTCAACAAACTTCAGCTGGCTACTCCTCTACCTGGGATCAATCCTCTGTGCCACCATCCCAGCAGAGCACACAAGGTGAGTATGATTATTACGGTCAGCAACAGTCACAGCAACCAAACAGTGGTGGTAGCTCAGCCCCGCCAACAGATACCACAGGCTACAATTACTACCAGCAGGCGTCTGGTTATGGCCAAGCTGGTCAGGGATACCAGCAAGATGGGTATGGGGCTTATAATGCCTCACAGCAATCAGGATATGGTCAAGCTGCTGGGTATGATCAGCAACAGGGTTACGGCAGCACCAACAATCCAACTCAAGAGGAAGATGCATCTCAAGCCGCTCCGCCGCCATCATCTGCTCAGTCTGGACAGGCTGGGTATGGTACAACTGGTCAACAACCTCCTCAAGGTAGTACTGGTCAGGCAGGGTATGGCGCTCCTCCGACTTCTCAGGCTGGTTACAGCAGCCAGCAACCAGCGGCTTACAGTTCTGGGTATGGGGCACCACCACCGGCTGGAAAGCCACCAGCTTATGGTGGTCAGAACCAGCAGTCTCCGGGTGCCCCTGGGAGCTATGGTGGTCAGTCTGGGTATGCCCAACCAGCAGCGTCAGGGTATGGACCGCCTCCAACATATGGTGGGTATGGTCAAGCTCCGCAGGCATATGGGTCTTATGGAGGATACACCCAAGCTGCTGCTGGTGGTGGAGGATACTCTTCTGATGGGTCTGCTGGAGCTGCCGCCCCTGGTGGTACTAGTACGCCGGCTTCACAGAGTGCTCAACCAGCTGGACCGCCCAAGGCATCACCGAAAAGTTGATATATGTTAATGGATGAATTTCAGCTGTTATACATTACAGGCTTCCCAAAGCTCTTTTCTTTTTTCATGAGAATTTCTTAATGTTTGTGTTCGACGTTTTAGTCCTTTTGTTTTTATATTTGAGATAATGGTTAATGGTACGTTTGGTCTGCTCTGTGTCTTCTTA